AAACCAAAATGCAAACAAAAAAGATGTAATTTCTGAATTCAGTGCAAGCCACTTAATCCAACCGTCTGGAATGTGCTTTAGAAAGTTCAGATTGGCTGCTTCTTCCTCTTCTTCTTTTTAAGAGAGAGAGAGAGAATGTGAGCAAGGGGGAGGCACAGAAGGGGAGAGAATCCCAAGCAGACTCCCCGCTGAGCATGGCGCCCAACTTGGGGCTCCAACTCACGACCCTGAGATCATGACCTGAGCCGAAAGCAAGATCCGGGGCTTAGCCGGCTGAACCACCCAGGCGTCCCCAGACTGACTTCTTTAAAACATCATTTTTGGGGGCGCCTGGGTGGCTCAGTGGGTTAAGCCTCTGCCTTCAGCTCGGGTCATGATCCCAGGGTCCTGGGATCGAGCCCCACATCGGGCTCTCTGCTCAGCAGGGAGCCTGCTTCCTCCTCTCTCTCTGCCTGCCTCTCTGCCTACTTGTGATCTCTCTCTGTCAAATAAATAAATAAAATCTTTAAAAAAACAAAAACATCATTTTTTGTGATTATAAAAATCCCATAAAAGCCAGGCAAATGCAGGAGCGAAGAGAGAAGAGACAAGGAAGGAACCCGCCGCCCCAGAGGAGTAACACTGAGTTACATTGTATGTACAATTTATCAACACGGAGACCCGCTGCTCACTTCCGACAAAGGTAAACCTGGGATCTGTTTCTGCAGCATAACCTGCCGTTCTTGTTTACACGTCCTAGCACTCTGCTTCCTCCTTAAGTGTCCTTTGTCAGCAAAGTCTAGTTTGTGGTCACTTATCCCATCAGATGCTCCGTGCTGCTTTCAACCAACTCTCTGTCCCCGAAATTTAGACTAATTGAATACTTTTACGATTATAAATTATGCTGAAACATATATATAACATATGATATATTTAACAGATAACAGACAATAGATAAATGTATACATAACACATAAAGCTTAAACTTCTCGGATTAATTTCCTGGACTGAATTCCTACAAAAGCAGTCCTGTCCACTGGGGAATGGACATCTTCAAGCACTTGGTAACACCAGTGAATGAGTCTACAGGTCTGTGCTGATTTATAATATCTCCACCAGCAGCACATCAAGGCGTCCGTTTTTCTGAATCTTACCAATGCTGTGTATTTTGTCCTTTTTGCTTTTTGCCATTTGATAGGTAAGGGAAGACCATAACAAATTATTTTGATTTGCAGCTCTAACAGGGAACTAAAATTTTCCCATCTGCTTAGTCTGTGTATGTGTTTATATTTATACGTGTTTTTAATACCCTGTTCATATCCTTTGCTCATTTCTTCCAACTGAGTTAAAATCTGCCTCTTGGTAACTTTCCTCTTTTGGTCCCAACTGTGCCTTCTGGAATGATCCTAAGTAAGATTAATTTCTCCTTCATAGGACACCCCCTCAAATACTTCAAGACAGAAATCATGCCTTGCTTTCTCCAAGACAAACACCCTGGCTCCTTCAACCCTTTCTCACTTGGCACAAGTACAGGCGGTTGCCGAAGATGTCATACTAAGTCCTGCTGTGCCATCACCCTTACCATGCCCAATGCTCGTGGGGACAGACCTCATGCGACTTCAGGAAGGCCCGCCTGGGGTCATCTGTGCAGGCTCCAGGGGTAGCCACCAGCCCGCACCCTGGGTCTCAGACTCATTTCTTCTGCTCATTCCACAAGGACCCTCTGAGTTAGACTCATGATGATCGTGGCATTTCTCATGATACCCTAGGTCTGGAGCCCAGACAAAGTGGTCAGAAGGAGAGTACTCTGCGGCCGGAAACAGGATGAAGGATTCGCCTGGTATGATGAGAATGATTAACGACTTCCGAAGAGGAAGACATTAAGAACCAGACAGGCTCCCCAGAGCTGGATTTGGTGGTACTGACCCGCCCAGGGTCAAGCCTTGTCCAGGAAACTCCCCTGACCCTGGGGTCACTTGGGGTGCGGGTCCCACCTCTGGCCCCAGAGCTTGTGGTTTCACCGTACTCTGCTGTGGTCATCTGTGTAGGTGCTGCCCTCCCCCCACCCCAGCCACACATCTCTGTGCTCCCCAAGGAGCAGGCCCATGTCTGGAGCCAGACAGCCTTGCTCAGAAACAGGCACACATGCGGCCATCGCGTGTGCTCATGAGCTGCACGGCGTGGGAGTCTCTCTCCCGGCTGTCCACACCTTCTGAGACACACCTGGTCTCACAAATAGCGCAAAAGCTCACAGGTTCCCTGAACCACAGACAAGAGCGTCCATGACAGAGACCAGGTAACCCCACGGCATGGCAGGACCGTGTCTGGGAAAGACGTCAGCTTCTGAGGGCTCTCCCACATCTGCCAGGACTGACCAGTTCTAGAGTGTCATCATGACCGTTTCTAGATCTACAGAGCAGAGGTCCGGGCTCTGAACACTGTGAGGCAGTGCGGCTTTATGAGTTCCTGTCTTGAGTCGAGCTGGGGCCCTCGGGCAAGCAGCTCCCTGACAGCAATTCTGTGCATTATGGTTACATAGGAGAAAACATATAAATAAAAAGTACATAAGTTAAGAAATATACATACTTTATATATTTATGTCAAGCTAGTATATATACGTGTGTGTGTATATGTACACACAGCCAAAATTAAACACAGCCAACTCCTGGAAAAATTAAACTGTGCACTACAACCTGTATACCTCAGCCACTATTACCCGACATGTCACCTCTGGATCTCAGCACAGATTTACAAGGTGTGCTTAAAGGCAAGAAAAAACACAGTCCGAGGAGACAAAGCAAGCATCATTACCAGACTCAGATATGAATGACACAGACCTTGAAATTACTAGACGGGCAATTTAAAATAACTGTAATTAATATGGTAAGGGCTCTACTGGGAGAACAGATAATAGCAAAAACAGATGGGTAACGCAAGCAGAGGGAAGGAAACTCCAGGAGGAAAACAGAAGGAAATGTTAGAAATAACGAACGCTACAGAAATGGGCACTGCCTCTGATAGATTCATCCGTAGATTGGATGCTGCAAAAGAAAGACTCAGTGAGCTTGAAGACGTGCCAATTGAAGGTCCCAAAAATAAAATGCAAAGAGACAAAAACAGAGAGAAAAAATCCAGACACAATCCCCCCAACTTGTAGCACCATTTCAAACAATGTAATGCCTGGACATTTGCAATACCAAAAAGAGAAGAAAGAGAACAGAACCAAAGGACTTGTGAAGAAATAATGTCTGAGAGTTTTTCAGAACTAATGACACCGTACCACAGATGCAGGAAACTCAGACATGACCAAGAAGTAGAAATAACCAAAAAGCAAAACAAAATGAAGTACTGAGGCACGTCATGGAACGACTGAGGTTTTTTGCAGAAAACCAAAGACAAAGGAAAAATCTTGAAAGAAGCCAGAAAATTAAAAAAAAAAAAAAAAAACAACAAACAAAAAGTCCCACGCTACCTGTGGAAACACAAGGATAAGAGTTCTGTGGACTTCTCATCAGGAACCATGAAAACAAGGAGAGAGAATACTCATTCATTCATTCGTTTAGCAGGCTCCATGCCCAGCACGGAGCCCACGTGGGGCTCAAACTCACGACCGTGAGACTGAGACCTGAGCCAAGATGAAGCTTCGGACACTTGCCTGAACCATCCAGATGCCCTAGGAAGAGACAATATTTAAAGCATTGGAGGAAAATATGCACTGCCCTAAAATCCAATATCCAGTGAAATTATCCTTCAAGAGTGAGGGGGAAAAATGACTTTCTGTGAAAAACAGAAACCGAGAGAACTCATCACCAGCAGAGCTGTCCTGCAAGAAATGTTACAAGAGGCTCTTCAGGAAGAAGAAAACAACGCGGGTTAGAAACACGGATCCATGTAAAGGAAGGCAGAGTGTCAGAGAAAGAAGAAATTTAGGTAAAATAAACTTTATTTTTATTACTCTTAATTGAGCTAATATACTTCTGCGCATTCCGAGTAATAATGCTAACAATGCGTAGGGCGACGAGGCCCGTGGATAAGTGAACCGCACGGGAGCAGAGCCGCAGGTGATGCGGGAGCAGGAGGGAACAGGAAAGCCGAGTGATGCCGTCCTTGCAGTACCCACGAAGTGGAGCGCAGTCGTGTGCCCATCACCCCTACCTGACTCCAGAACCTCTGTGTCACCCTGACGAGACACGCTGTACCACGACCCGTCATTCCCCGGCACCCGGAAACCACAAAACTACTCTCATCGGGAAGGACCCGTCTTGTCTGGATATGGCACATAAACGGAATCGAATCACGCGTTGCCTGTTATCTGGCTTCTCTTCCAGGCTCAGCGTGACGTTTTCCAGGCTCACCAACGTGGCAGCATGGGTCCGGCCCTCGCTTCCTCGACGGGCTGAATAACACTGTGTCATGCGGATACTTCATTTTCTACTTCTCCATTCGTCAGCAGGCGAGCACGTCTGGGTTGCTTCCACATTCTGGCCGTGAACATGGTTGTGAACGTCCGTGTGCACGTGTCTCGGTGGACAAATGCTTTGGGTTCTCCTGAGCTCACCTGGGAGTGGGTCTCCTCCGTCACGGGCAGCTCTACGCCTAACGCTGTGACGACCGGCCACCCGGTTCCCTAAGCAGCTGCGCCATTTTCCATCCCCACCCGCCCTGAGGGCTGCCAGGAGGGCTCCACACCCTCAGCAGACCCTGCGCGGGCCGTCTGTCTGTCTGAGCCCTCCCAGTGAGTGTCGGAGGTACCGTCTGAAATGCCACCGTGACTTCACCCCGGGCTCCAGGTGACAGAATTCAGAAGCAGCTGAGGCTCCCACTACCCCTGCAGGATTGCTTTTCAGAAACCTTCGCTTCAAGAAGCACGGTTTTTTCCAGTTACGAAGATTGTTATGTTCTTAGCATAAAGAAGAAGAGCTTTCTGCCTCTCTCCATAGGAAGACGTCCCTAGCGGGAAAGTAGGGTAAGGTGAGGAGAGCGCCCGCCTCCCTTGGGATGAGTGCGCGGCTCCTACTTACCTGCCGGGGGCCACGCCTTGATGTACCCCGTGCAGTGGACCACAGCGTACTGGGCCTCCCCTTCTTTCACGGGACCAAGGCCGTTCCTAAAGAAAGAGCATTTGTGAGTCGGCTCTCAGCACCTGGCGGGGAGGCAAGGCCACCGATGGCTCCTCTGCGGTCTAAGCCACAGGGGTCATGCTTGCCTTGTGGGTTTGGATGGTGCCTTCCCAGCAGCCTGCTCTCCCTCCTGCGAAGCTGCACCCAGCTCCCCGCTACCCCTGTGTGCAGCCCCGAGGCGTGTGCCCCACGCCTCTCCCTGCACTCAGCCCCTCTCCAGGTCCCGCCCCCCATGGCTCAGTGCACTCAGGCTTTCTCCCAGCACAGCCCCAAACCCATGTCAGAAAAGCCTACTGACCTGAACCTTTTTCTCATGGTGGTTATTCTGTTCAGAGGGAGGTGGTCCAGAGGAGCGTTTCCACACCTGCGATTCCAGAAACGGTCAGAATGAGTAAAGGCCTTAGCAAGCTTCTACAGCCTAGAGCGCTGCGGTCAGAAAGGTGGGTCTGCTGTGACACTCACACACCGACCCGCGAGCCCAGTAGCTAGTTCCCTTCTGGAGTGTCAACGCGGGCTTGCGTGTGCCCTGGAATCTGGACTGTCCCTGAAGGCCAGGGCAGTGTGACCCGCTGGGCACTGATTGGGGCCCGGCCCGGAGGCTGGGGACACAGAAAGACTCTAGGGAACCCTGGCCATGCTCCAAGCTGCAGACTCACGTCTGTGCCACTGGGGGCTTTCAGGAAAGTGGGCAGATGGGCAATGACCACGGTGACGTCATTTCAGGCCTCAGCAGTGACAGCAACTCCACACGCATGGGGCCCACTGGTGACAAGAAACATCTCGGGCTCGGGCTGCCATCCGGGGACCCTCCCTACTGCCTGCATGGCCCTGCCCGGCAGTCCCACGGCCGCTGATGGCAGAGGGCAGACTGCGGACAGAGGGCGGAACAGCCTTTCCGAGGGTCCTTCTGGGAGGCAGGCTGCTCTGGGGGGGCCTTTCCTGCCTCTGTCCTCCATGGCCCCCCAGGCTCTGAACAGCCAGGTCTGCCCCGTGGCCAGAAGCAGGTCACACCTTGGTCTACCCCCCTTACATGGGCTCCCCGTTCCCAGCTCCATGACTGGTAACGCTCTGGATGTCGGCCACGCTACATGGCCAAGATAAGGGTCCACGTGTCCTCAGTCTGGGGCAGCGGCCCACACACGCGTGTTTCCCCAGTAGGGTCGATCCAGGACCCCAATGCCCGGGCGAGCTGGCCTGGCTCTCAGCATCTTCCTCAAACTAACCCCGCTTTGGAGGACAAGGTCGTGCGCTCAGCAGACGGCAGTGCCACCCGCTTCACAGGAGTCCGGGTCGTGTGGAGCTGGGACCACAAAAAGCCACTGGACTGTGCCCCCCGGAGCGCCCAGGGCAGGGAGAGGGCTGCCTGAGCGGCGTGATGGGGCAGTGCTTATGGCATGGAGGCTACTCGGGGACGCTCCTAGGGAGGGCCTTCACCGGGTAAAGCTTGGGGCGGCAGCTCTGAAAGGTGGGCGCTGTCCTGGAGGCCCGCCACACGGGGATGGGTGTGCACACCAACCCAGGCACCCGTGCGTTGTACCTACGGCCTCCCATGTCATTCAGAGCAGAAGCTGATGTCTTATGATGACCTGACATCCCAACCCTCCGGACCAGTGTTCCCATCACCACACCCCATTCACTCTGCTCCTGGGAGAGTAGCCCCTTCATCCCTCGAGCAGGCCAAGAACACCCCTGCCTCAGGGCCTTTGCACTTGCTGTTCCCTCTACCTGTGTTTTCTTTCCCCAGATATTCCCAGGTCTCCACTCAAAATGTCACAGTAGCCACGGGCCCTCCCCTCACCTACCTAAAAACCAAGGCATAAGCCAGTAGCCCCCACTCCTTCCTACTCCTTCAGTTTGTTTTATTTTCCTCAGCAGCACT